TGACTCTATTCAAATCACAAAACAGCTCACTTTCGATTTTTGGCCAAATGTCCGCCTATATGTCCACTGTGCGACGTATAATAACAATGACGCAAGCCAAACAGTAAAAGTTGTAGCCATGAAACAGTAAACAAAATTAAAAAAACCAGAGAAACAGTGAATAGATCTAGAGGAATTAAAAAAGAACAAGTGTAAATAAAACAAAGAAAAATAACACCGATAGAGTTGACCAAGAACATTGCTGAGAGTTACTACGAAAGATATTATGATAATGCTGTTTTGAACGAAGATAGAGAAGGAGGACAATAATTGATTGGAAGTCTATTCCAGTCGGTAATAGATGCATTGAAAAATGCAGAAAAATCGTTTACAAGAGGTGAAATACAAACGTATTTCTGATGATGACATCGTAAACGAAGAGTAATAAGAATGGTGAATTGGATAAAAAAATAATAAGAAGGCTAAGACGATGATAAATTGTAAAAATTGTATCATCCAAAAATATTTACGGCGAACAGAATGGTCTGGAAGAGAAAGTTGAGAGATGAGTAAAAAGCTAGAAGAACGATAGTCAAAATTACGAGATAACACGTGCAGCAAGTTTATTAACAGAGTCAAGAACTGAAGGAGAAAAAGAATTGTCATACAAGGCACAACAATAATCAAGTTTAGGAAGAATAGACGAGAGAAAGATTCGACGTCGAGTTTCAGGTGGGGCTAATCCAGCTCAATGCTTGTAGTTGACGATGACAAGCAAGAGCACTTTCTCTGACATGTTCAATCCACCACAGATCGTGCGAAACGGGAACAACAAGACAACGTACGGAGGAAACAACGGAGAGAGGAACACTGTTAAGATACAATTGTTTGTAAACAAACGGAAAAACATTGAAGGAAAAATGAATCCCAGAAAATTCAGTCATATTCAAAGACATAAGATTTGAAGTAGACCAGTTAGAGATGCAATTAATAAAGTTTCCAAGATGAGAAAAATCAAGAGAATCAGCAGTAGACAAAAACCATAAAAAGAATATCTCTAACAAACAGAACTAGTTGAGAGAGACAGGAAAATCATTGATAAATATGAGAAATGAATGATATTGTTCTTAATTCATTTATTTTGTTTGGAAATTCTTTGTTTACCGTGGATAATGAATCAAAAAGAGAATAATATAAAACAGTATTTAAATGATCGTGAGCATCTTGTTTATTCGTATAACAGAACCAGCAATACTGAGATTGAGCGATCTTTTCAAAGTTGTTCTAGATGTTAGTGACCAAAGTTTGTGAAAAAAAATCACAATGACAGGTTTCAACCGATTATAAACTACCAATTTGTACGATAAAAAGCCATTTCGTGAATGTCACGAAATGGCATGAAAATAGTTAGTAGACCATGATATTAGTGCCCAGCTCATCGATGATATATACGGATAGGCACTCCTTAAAAAGTTTGAGCATGCATGTTTTCTTTATATATGGCAAACATCACCATAGGGCGCAAGCTAAACCAAATGACACTGAACTATCTTATTTTTTTGTGGGTTTAGAATCCAGTCACATGTCGAGCCATAGTCGAAGAATATGCAAGACAAGAACTTTATACATTTAGTGCACTATTTTTTTTTGAACAATATTAATATGCCGCTAGTACAGTTCAATATGCTCAGTTATTCTGTACTCTCTGAAAGTCAAATCCTGTATTTTAAAGTATACCAGTCTCACCCAGATTCTTATTGACTAGTCTAAAAGTTGCAAATAACTGGAAGAAAAACTGTATCTGGTGACAAATTTAAAATATCAACTTAGAAATAGATAAACTGCACACAGAAAATAAAATGACCGTTGCATATCGAATCGTAGCAGGATTTTGCCACTTAACATCTTTTTCTATATTTTGAAACTTTAATTAAGGGCCTCAGGAATTCGATGTTTTCTTCGAAACTGAAGTAACCATACGGTTCAGTATCCCAAAGTATCATCTTTCAGAATCCGTCTCAGTTTGCCAAAAATTCAATGTTTTTGGAGGATTTTGAAAGAAATTTCTGAACGCCCTAAAAAGTACCTTTTTCTAAATTTCACGTTTCAATTAAAATTTTTAAGGTTGTCCGTTTTAATCGACATGGAGATATGTTGATCAGAGTGTTCTGATCAGAATGAGATATCCAGCAGGTTTGTACGACTTTGTCTTGCAGAGTTATACTAGTTTTGCTAAAGGTGCTGAACTATAATTAATGAAGTGATGACGTTTTTCTCAGAACATGGTTTTAGCGGTGTAACATTGTATCAACTTCTCGACGCTTCATTATAAAAACTTCATTTTTTTTTAATTTAAAGCTAAGACATTTATCTAAAGATTCATTCGCGGCGGTTTTTTGCTTTTTGTTTTCTGTGCAGAGATAAGTAGCAAATACTACGTCGGATTAGGGTTATTTTCAGAGCTCTGATTTAAAGTACGTGTTGGAAGTAAACGGAAGCAAAATTCAAAAATCGCCGCGAACTAAATTTTAGATTTAGGTGTCTACTTTCATTTGAGACCATTCGCAGTTGTCTGCAACTTCCAACATAAAAGCCTTTACGCTTTTGCTGAGAGCCCCATTTTGTCCTTTGTTACGCAAAACTCGGCAGCGCTTCAACGCTTCGATTTCAAATTCTTAGCATAAGCTCGTAGGACAGTAAGCAATAGTCGCTGAAAGCGCCATCGAAATCGGATGTAAGATAAAGAAGTTTTTTCCTGAGTGGGGGCCCCCTTAATAATAAGTTGAATGATTATTTAAAAGTAGTGCACGATCTTTAATGTCGTTTTTGCAGTAGTCTTCGTCATTGAGAAACGAGATTTCCAAGATGTAGACTACAGTTACCTTCTGTAAAATGTTAGGTCAAGAAAAAAATAACCTGATGACTGTTGTCATTACTCTTTATGCTGCTTTTCTTTTACAAAGACAGATGTGTAACATTCGACTGTATTATCGCTATAACTAACCGAACTTTTTTAAGTAAAAGTATTGAACAAAAAAATCGAACGTTTTTTCTATCCTACTATGGTCTAAAGCTTAAGCGCATCATTTTCCTGTATTTCTTATTTTTTCTATGAATATATAAATATTACATCTTTATGTTTAACCTCGTTGTTTATTCGTTTATGATGTGAGATCATAATCACTTTTTTTCTTTCTAAGTAGACAGAAATTATAAAATTCAATCGATGATGCTGAGTCTTCTTCATTTGCCTCTTAGATGCTCATTTAAATCAGTTCCGCTTCTAATTTTTAGTGTAACTTGCATACACTGCTGAGCACGTTATGCGATTTACCGCTTGAACTTTTCTACTATACAGTTCTTTTTTGCCATAGAATTTTCCTCCTATTTCCACCACGAGCACCATTTCCTTCATTTATGATTTTTTACTGTAAATCTACCCGTAGAATCTATCATTATTGCTGTTTCTGATGAATATATATCACTTAAACAAAAATTTGAATAGCGTTAAATAATTTCCAGCAAAATGATTTTCTTCTTTCATTTTCATATTGCATATGGCTATATATAGCTATGTTGGATAGACAATCTAATCTCAAATGAAGTATTCATTTTCTCAGTACATAGATGTTCAGAGAATCATTACAATTTGTTTTGGTCCGTGTAGCAATATTTATGTTTACTAAACAATAATGTTTGCAATAAATAAGCACAGCGTCCTAGTCGCTCTACGAGCGAGTACTCAGATAGAATAGTCACTTTACACTCCACTTTCGAACTTATTCTAGTATGTTCTCCTCATTCGTAATTCTTATTTAGCTATTGCAATAACAATTGTATGCTTAATCAAAACTATTTTTGAATACGACATTTTAATTAATAATTTAATTTCTTTTCTAACACATCATGGTACAACCCCTATACTTTAGACGTTCTTCTTTTTTGTAATATTTTTGAATTAGAATTAGGTAAAGATATTTAATCCATTCAGCCATTGTTTCTTTTTGCAGACCACTATGGTAGGTTAGTATGTTGATCAGAACTGCTGTTTAACAAATAGTAAACGGATAGGTAGTCGCCTTCGAAGATTATCGACTGCAGGATAGGTATCGAGTTACTTGAAATGAACAAATTGGACTTTTCAACACCTTATACTAGAAACAGTAGTCGTGATGCAGGGTTTTCTCGGCGTTGTTATTTGTTATATTTCGTCATTATCAGTAGGCAAATATTCTTTTATTTGTTATCTGTACGCATTTGTTTCTTTTTCTATGAATTATTATTATTGTTTTTAGTTAACTTGAATTAAAAGTTCTTTTAATTAAAAGATGTTTTTTACAGGTATATCATCATCAAAATATAAATGATACTATTTTACTACATTTTTGTTTTCAATGATTGAAATTCAGTATAACTTTTCATATGTTCGATCCTTGCTTCGTGCAAGGATTAATTTTGTGTTTTGATAGTTTAAGTTTTAGGATGACATAATGGGAATTCTTGTTTTTGTTCTGGTTCAAGATTGACGCTTAAACCAACTGTTCGATTTTGAAAAATGTGAATGGACATGTTAGCTGCGCCGACTACTTTTTGATTCGCTAACATCTCTAAATATGAGAAAGGATATGTGACTAAAATAGGAGCGTTTGTTAGATGTTCAGTTGGTGACCGAAAGCTGGTACTTACATAACTTTGATAAGAGATAAACAAGGTGAAAACTCTTTAGTCTGTAACGCTATGAGTAAATTTGTGACCTTTTTACTTGAAACGAGTGCCTGTGAAATCTTTTTAGCAAGATTATTTGATTCTTAGTCTTAAAATATCTCCACGACAAACAAGTTTTTTTTCGTAATTTTGACAATTATCATATAAAAGATGCTTTCTGTTTAAACTTCCAGATACTTTATGAATATATGATTTGTTCTAGTCGATGTAGATTTTTGACTATTCCGTTATTCCAACATTTTAGCCGATTTTCCTCTACGACACTAGCAAGTATTCAACGTCGTTTGTCACCATCAATGTCGCGCGACGCAGGATCGAAATCATTGACGGAATATTGTCTATCAAATAATAATTTTCAATGTTTCCAGTCAAATCCATTAAATCGTTTAAATTTACATCGAAAATCATCGGATCTTATCATACCATTAACTCAGAATAAGCAAGCACGATTTTTACCATTTTCATCTCAATTTCATCCATTAATGACAGCAGTGAATTCGAAAAACTTAAGGTATCCTGTATGGTTGACTTATGAACAATTAGTAGATAGTGGTGTCGATCTTGAAACGAACGAAGTAGTTCTGTTAGGCATTGGATCACAACAATTAGTTAATCATGAACAAGAGCTGGATAGGTAAGATCGAGACGCTATTAAATAATTTCTAAGTCATTGGATTTCTTTGTTTTTTTAGTCAGACAAGTCAACCAAAAACTAAAAGTTTATTATCATTAATGTTAGTTTCAGCGCCTACCGACAGTGAATATATTTACTTTGCAGTTTTGATTCAATCAAAATCTATTGCTGATAAACTTAAATCATTGCTAGACGCATCCTCTTATGGTGAATTACGTATATTGTTATCATTTATAACAGTGGCTGATGCATCTATATTAGCTCAAGGAAGAGCTCTTCTTGATTGGCATACCAGTTCACTGTTTTGTGGAAAATGTGGTAATCGTACACTTTCAATCGAAGGAGGAGCTAGGCGAAAATGTACATCAGAAACATGTTCCCGTACATTGTATCCTCGAACAGATAGTGTATCGATCACTTTGGTCTCGTCTAAAGATAATGAAAGAGTATTACTTGGACGTAAAAGTCAATTTCCAAAAGGAATCTATACATGTTTAGCTGGTTTTATTGAGTCTGGTGAATCTATTGAAGAGGCATGTCAACGAGAAATATTTGAAGAATCCGGTGTGTTAATTGATTCAGAGAGTGTCAAATATTTTCAGTCTCAACCATGGCCATTCCTTGGTGGTCAGTTGATGATAGGCTGTTTTGCAAGAGCGGATGAAAAGATGGAAGACGCTGAATCAGTGACATTACATGATTCTGAATTAGAAGATTGTAAATGGTTTAATAGAAACGAAATAGGTCAAATGCTAAATATTAGTCGAACTCAGGTCGATGCCTGGGCGCAAGCAGCGCAGAAGAAACCACATGAGAAAGTAGAAACGCCAGCAGTTCCTGTTTTAACTATACCACCACCATTCGCCATAGCACATCAGTTAATACAATATTGGTATACAAATAAAACAAAAAACAGTGCGTAATTTTGTTTTTATTTCTCAATATGGTAAATAAATAATGTTTTAACTGTTTTTGATATTTCTTTAGTAAAAAGCTATTTATATTAAATTTGTTATTATGGTCATATTTATTCACTCTTATTTTCGATGATTATTCCATTGAAATAGTAAAAACTTGAATCTATTATGTTAAGATTCTAACTTTTGACATTCGAAAAATCTATAAAAGCGACATTTGGCAAGTATTACACGGCGCTCATTCGCATGGCGTCAAGAACGTATACGACGTACCCTCACCAAGTGTATACCTCGGCTTTCAATGATATTATACGGATCGATAGGGGAAAATATCCCAATAAAAAGTCTAAAAGGATTTCGATCCATGTCGCTTCTTTCAAAAGTTACGGATTCATTCTTTTTGTTTTGTTTCACTGTAAAAACAATAAAAATTGTCTATATCGGTAAAAATAAAGAGTTAAGAGTTGAAATTTTTTTCTATAACTGTGCTAATAGTCGCCTACTCTCATTGCAAAAAATTTCGAATCTCTAAGTCGTTTATCTATCGAGTAATTAAAATTTTTCTTCAATAAGGAAAGCCGCATGTTCCCATGTTGTCTTTTTTTTCACGGACTTTTTTTACTCTTTAACAAAATTGTCTATGCGTGCATCTATCTATATTTATTTTCTATCAACAACAAGAAGGAAACCAACCTTGAATAAAAAATAACAGTCGTAACGAGAAAGCGGCCTCAACCTCACATATTTAATCATTCTTTACCGAATATCATATTCATTAAATTTAATATTTATTTTTACTATCTCATATTATTATTCTAGCTTTTAAGCTGCTGTTACAACGGAATATTGCACATGAAAACAGAAAAGCTTCAGCAACATGGACCGAAATCCTTTTATACTTTTTATTAGGATATTTTCCTTTATCGATCCGTATAATATCATTGAAAATGGAGGTATACACTTGGCGAGAATATCTCATTAGACAATCCTTGTGGAGTAGTTTTCTCTAAGCGCATGATTATTGATGTGCACCGTTTGTAGAAGATCACTCATGGAAAAAAGAATTTTTTGTATATTAAATATGAGAACCAACTGGCGTCACTAAATATTATACAAATCTATCTTCTTTTCTTTTACAATCAAGTGTCAACAAAATATTATATTACACCTCGATACAGTACTATCTTTCCATTTTATTCCTCATCATTTTTCTTCAAGATCTATAATTTCTCAAAAGCATGGAGGACAGGGTCAGCCATAATACAATCTGGTCGCGCCGCTACTCGGTGCAGACTCGCAAAGGAACTAGCAGTTTATACAAAATCAAAAAAGAATTTTCGGTTTCTTGGGATTTATTTAAAGAAATTCAATGTCGATTTTCTATAAACTGCAGGTTCCTTGGCGAATTTTCAGCAGTTTGAAAATTATTTATCGAAATTCGAGGAGGAATTTCCAGTTTATAGAAAATCGAAGTCGAATTTCCATAAAGAAATCCCAAAAGACTGAAAGTTCGGCGAGGAATTTCTATAAACTGGAAATTTCGATTTTTCTATAAACTAGAAAATGCTCGGAGAATTCATATATGAATTCTTTGAAATTCGCCGAGCATTTTCTATAAATAATTTCCACTTTGCAATGTAAAAGCTAGATCTTTAAATGAGCTTTAAAATAAAGCAAGAATATATACAGTCACCGCCACTCAATTATCCGAGGACGATTTCTCAATTACTTTGGAACGAAAGCAGAAAAAAATTGCGGTTTTCACTATTTCGTAAAGAAGACTGGAAGATATCTTTTCATAAGAGAGTTTAAAAATCTTTTTAACCGACAGAGTTTTGAATCAGTTTTTAGAAAACTCGTTAGAGTCAAAGTAAGCACATATTTATCTTTTAACATGCACAGTTATGCACTCTAAAGTAGGCGGCGTCAAACTCTTCATTTATCATTTACGTTCAACACGGTATTAGTTTTTGACATCGGTTTACGATTCATTTTTAGACGTGTTTCTGTAATGATAAAATATCTGAAAAGTTTGATAACTTCTGCGAAAATTTTCAGTTTATACTTTTCGATGAAATAGTGTAAATCAATCAGACAAGAGTTTAGTGAGAAGTGTCTCGCCAGAATTTCTTGCTAAATTATCTCGACTCCAGCTTACTAGCATTCTATGGATTCTACGTATCCGATGCGTAGCAGCGTTCAAAAACAAAGGACGGAAGAAACAAAGAAAACAATCAATCTAGACATAGAACAGTGGATTTAGTTTTACAGTTTACTGCAAAGTTAAGTTCATGGGTTCGAATCTCTACTCATACAAAACTGATTTTGTGTTTTTCGATAGTTTCAGTTTAGACTACTATAATGGAATATTTTTCCGCTAGTATTCAGAAAAAATAAAGCTTATATCAACATCAACAATCAAGGAAGGAGAAGAATGACACAGAATATTACAATAGAGCTAGTAACTAAGATATTTCTTCTCACCTAAGATATGACGTGTGCATACATTAGTACGCATTTGCCCCATCATTCTTAAAAGATATCTGTTCTTTGTCGTATCACTGTATCAAAGCATGTTCATATCTTTTTCTTTTATCAGATGTGCTTGATGCATATAGGCACGTTATGCTACAGAAAAACATATTTGATACATAGATACCTCCTTACTAGTTCTCTAAATAGAAGAAATGAATATATTTTGATTATTACGACTAATGTATTATTTTTTTAATCTGTCGAACACTACCATTTTCGCAGAATGGTTTTTAATTTTGGCTCCACTCCGGTGTGATCGTTGTTTGAAGAATGGTTTTCTTAGTGAGAGCTATAATGTATTTTTATACGGTTGAACTCACTTAAATAAATAAAGTTTAAATCAATGGTTTTCTTGCGTAGATTTATTGTAGCTACGAACTATCTCTTTGAAAAAATGAAAGTTTCATTTCAGGTTATATAAAGATGTTTAAAGATTCTTTTTAAATTATTCATTGTCATTATCATGCCAATAAGATCTTAATTAAGAGATATGACTTACTGCTTCTTTTTATGATTATGTTAGTGACACAGTAGATGAAAAAATGGCACAATTAATGGGTATAAAATCGCAAATCCAATATTAAATTGCGATAATATTGAAAGTGAACTGTTAGAAATATATGATGTAGGAAAACAGACCATTCTTTAAAAGAATATGTTCATAGACTTGTTTATAATAAACCAAGTGTTAGACGCAGTATATTAGATTCAATTCAAACAGCAACAAGTACGATTTACTTGCTTAGTTTTAACTTAAATAACCACTGACACAAAGAATTTTTTAAATTTATTTCAGGTGGATCTCAGTCACAATTAGATTCGAATTCGAATAGTTATCAAGGTTTCCAATCGAAAAGCGAAAATTTGTGGTATGTTACACTGCAATCATCACGATTCTACACGACATTACTGGTCAAAACAACGTCATCCGATTTATATAGCATGGGCCACATTATTCAGCATATTGAGAACCGTTGTATATTGATTAATGTGCCGCAATACGATTAACAATTTAAACAGCATGCACACGCTCGAATTAGTCAATTAAGTAAACTGTAATAAAAAATGATAAAATTAGTTACGATTAAAAACAATACAATGAAAAGACAAAAGCAACAAAACTGATTGTCCCTGAAATAAACGTATTTAAAAAAATAAAAAACAAGTTAGTTCTCGTTTGAAAGATTTATCTTCTCTCATTATAGTTCTTTTTTTGTGTTCAGATGTCAATTTATGAATAAAACATATGCGAAGAAAATTTAAGACAATGGCATTTCTCTTACCACTGATTTATTCGATATGTGAATAGTTTCCATATATTATGTTAGTTAATCAAGTACATCAAGACGCATGTACTTGAAAATGATGAAGAAACACTATTTAAAATTTTGTTACTTTAGATTTATTTGCGTCGTATATTTAGAACAATATTCATGATTAAATTATTTGAATTGATGAAAAAAAAGTATTTTATGAGCAGTTTAAAAAGATTTTCTAGCTAAAATTACGTATATATGGCTTTAACTAATGTATTGATTTTTGCTAATCTTTTCATACTTTTATTTCCTCAGTTAGATATAAAATTTATGGTTTTATTTCTTCATTCTAGTAACGTTTACTTTTAAATTCGTAAAAATAGTCAAGGCAGTACTAATTTTACAAGTTTATATGATATGGGGCTTAATTTACTCGTGGTTTATTTAACAGCAGAAAATCCAGATGGTATGTATTTTATTTCTAGATTTTCTGTTCTCATCATAATTTAGTTTTGATAATTTTCAACTACGACGTTGTTTAGCAACTCTTACTGTGTGTAAAATATTAAAAACATGTTTAACGTATGATGCAAAAACAGAAACAAAATAAGAAATGATTTTTACTGTATGATTACAAAACCTGTTGCTTTGTTTCGATTAACAGAGAATATGTTCCATTATCAGGTAATAACAGTGATCAATTCAGCTGCAATGAATTATTGGCATAGAACAAAATAAACAAAGTATGTGTTCTAAATATATGTTTAACGGTTTTTTTTATTATAGACTTCTAATCTTATTCGCTTTTAATTGCAGAAATTGGCTACGATTACACATCACACAGAAATATTAACACTTGATGAATATTCCGATGTTATGTAATCTAGCCTAAATTCCATCTTTATTTAATGTAGGTTTTCTGTAGGATGGGACTTAGGCTTCTTAGATCTTTTGTTTATTAAAAGATTTAGAAATCAATCCATTGGGACCAAAGTATTGTAGCCGGTTAATATAAAGTCTATTGGCTATTCACGAATTGAAACAATAATTACATTAATTAGTGTTATACTTCCAACGTTATATCACCTGTAACATTATATTAACTGTGCAATTTGAGATTTAGGCTTCTTTTTTTTTAAAATGAAAGTGAATATTCATCATCTTTATGTGAATCATGAAGATACGTTTGTAAAAACACTTTTAATTAGTTGCGACGAGTGGTTCGAGACGAAGTTCGAACATAGCTGTGTCATATATGAAAAAATATATTTCCACGAATCATTCTTCTTCAAAGGACGAACCAACACATAGACACATCTTCATTCATCGTAAAGACAAACGGATAATTGAGAAAAACAGGGAGAGAAAAAAATCGAGAAATAGTCTTTGCTATAATATTTTTTATCTCATGCTTGCTCGAAAAAGAAAGTCAATTTACTTTTAACTTCTTGGTTTTGCCTATGCAATTTCTTTGCTAAGATCATTGATCAATACTTTTTGCTCCTATAAAACTAAATATGACAAAAGTTTTAGAACTCAATTATTTTAAACTTGTCAGAATATTCGTTTTGAAAATGTTTTCAATAGACAAGAAAAGATTTTTTCTCATCTAACGTATTACAATGATTTCTACTAGAAATAGAAAACAATTTTCTAACTCGGTTCTGAAAAAGCTTGGAAAAAAATTTGGGAGAGTGATTTATAGATTTTCTCTGTATAGGGCGAACATGTACCAATTAAAGTTTGTTTTTCTTTTCCTGTTTCAATTTTGACTAAAACTTAATTTTGTCTGATTTATTTTCTGTCAATGAGTTAACGATTTATTTCTAGATAACGTTTAAAAAGCTATAATAGGACACGTATAAAATGTGTGGTTTTTGTCAGACTTTTACTATAAAAAATAAAATTGATGATCTATCTGATTTCTACAAGAGAATATTAGGTATATTACTCTTTTAGAATTAAAGTTAATGTCGCTTAATTTCCTGATAAATCATGTGTGAAGTAGAACATTTTTTTTTTCTCGCATTTTCCCTTTGAACATAGAAAACAATCTCGAAGATTTGTAAGTAAAAACGGTGTGTTTCTCACGTAGGGAAATACATGAAGGCATAATCCAAGTGCACCTATAGCCTAAAAAATTCTATTATTCGTATGAAAATCGTCTTTGTTTCTTGTTTTTTTTTTTGTTGTAATGTTTCCGTTTGAGCAAAATCGATTTATCTACTTTTAGTTTTTTGTTGAAAATAAAAGAAACCCCTCGTAATATATATAGTAATGACACAACTGATAGTTATAGTTCTTGGTTTTTTTTGTATGAATGAATGAATGAATGAATGAATGAATGAAGAATGGCAAAAATATGAAAAAGAAAACTATATAACTGAAAATTATGACATAGACTCTAAACTAAACAATTTCTATTTTGGAAAAAAAGAAGAATGGAACGAAAAATATAACTTCTATGTTTGCCTTTTTTTTTTTACTTCCTTTAATTTAGAGAACCAAAATGCCATATTCTTTTTCTTTTTCTTCTCTTAAAAAAATAGTTGTGTCGGAATCGAATGGATATAAAGCGAAAGATGTATGAACGTAAAGGCAGATTTTTTTTATTCTTTGTTTTTTTTTAAAGGAAAATTAAACTTTTGGTAACTTGTGGTATTTTTTTCTCTTCTTTTTTTCTCGCATATTGGTTAACGCAAGTGTATGCAGATATACACAGGCGTGCTACTCATCTAGAGACAAAATTACCAGTGATTAATCCCAGAATGTTAATAAAGAGAAGAAAAAGAAAAAAGAATGTTTTTCCTTTTAAAAATGGCATTCATTTTAAATATCACTATATGTTTTTGGCTATGTTAGTAAGATGTACTTTTTGATTTTAGATTCAAAAACAAAAAACAAACTCTCCATGTTCTTATAGAAAATGAATTTTAATTTTGATCTGAAAAAAGCATCACATTCAGCAGGCACGTTTTTATCTCGTGCAAAACAATTTACCGAGGAAAAACTTGGACAAGCAGTAGATAAAACGGAATATGATTCAAATTTTGAACAATTATTAGCACGAGCTGATAGAACAAAAGGTTGGACAGAAAGATTATCGCAACATGTTGAAAGTGTTTTACAACCAAATCCCAGTAAGTAAACTAGCGAGAAATTTGTTACAATTTTACAATATTCTTAAGATAGTAGAAAAGAAAGATTCCAATTTTTTCAGACTTCTATTCTTTTTCCGGTGTGAAGAAAAATAATTAGTATTTTTTTGACGAATAATTAATAATTCTGCATTATGATTATGATCTGCTGACAAACTTTTTTCTTATCAATATTGCAGATGAACGATTGGAAGATTTTATTTTAACAAAACTTGATCAAAAAGCTGTCAATAAGCCAAATAATTTGGAAATACTAGGACAAGTAATGTATGATGCAGGCAATGATTTTGGCCCTTCTACACAATATGGTAATTTTAAGAAGAAAAATATTCTTTAATAGATATATTGTATCAATTGCTCTATTATTCAAAGGTAGTGCTTTGATCAAATGTGGCAATGCACATCTAAAATTGGGTCTAGCAGAAAAAGAATTTGTCCAATCGTCCGCTACATCTTTCATTCAACCATTGAAAAGTTATCTTGATGGCGAAATGAAATCATTGACGGTAAGTACGTTGTACCTTCTGTATTTGAAATTATACGTGAATTGGTCGTTTTCTAGTTAGTTTTTTAGAAGTAAGTTAAAGGTTCAATATGCTCTGTTTGAACTGCTCATGCTGCTTTTTAGAGAGCAGAGTTTAACGCTTTGTTTTGAAATATCTAACATTACTGTGTGTGTGTGTTTACTCTATCTAATTCTTCCATGGTGACAAGTATTCTGCTATATCCACAACTTAATGTAATAGAGGCTTTAGGTCAAATTTTCCTCTTTTTTTCTTGGAATAATCACCCGGTTAGTTTTATTCGTTTTTACTTTAGAAAGAACGTCGTATATTGGAAACAAAACGTCTTGATTTAGATGCTGCACGATCCAAAAAGAAGAAAGGTAAAACGAATGTTTCAGCACCATCTAGTCCTGCTTTTCTTGATGTAAGTATAACTTTCTTTGCTATAAAAAAAGATCAACTATTATTCTGCTAGTTTTATTTTAAAAGAATGATGCTGAAATTCGTAATTCTCAGACGGAATTTGATCGTCAATATGAAATCACACGTTTAATGCTTGATGGTATCACTAATTCACATGTAAGTTAACTTTATGTTAGCAGAATACACAGCGTGCTAGTGTCCATTTTTGTTCTATTTCAAGAATCATCATTTACGTTGTTTAAACGATTTTGTCGATTCTGAATTACAATACCATAAACAATCTGTTCAAGTTTTAGAAGATTTGAGAAAACAACTTGGGTAAATTGGAAAAATAATATCGATGCTTGAATTCTAAATTTTTGAGTAATTAATTTTTCTCCATCGGAATTTCTAAATTGCTTTTATCTCTGTTTCGATTAGCAGTTTACTCTGTCTTGAATAACGATTTGTAGAGCACAAAGAACTTGGTGGTTGGAGGTTAAGTAATACTGTACCGAAAGTATAGTATTTCTTATTAGTCTTTATTAATCTTTCTATTGGCGTACAAGTGTTACATAGGAGCAAAACTTCCTAAGAGCTTTTCTTGCGGAAGCTTGTACCCTTAATTCATTTCAAATACTTTATTTAGTTTGACAACAAAATCTAATACAAATTCGTTAACAACATTACCTAAAAAGCAACCAATACCACAACGTGTTGCTACCGTTAAATTTGATTATGATGCAACAGATTTGAATGAAATTACTGTACTTGCAAAAGAGGTATTCATTTATGTTTGATCTGTTTTCTGTTCACTAGATTTTTTTTTCATTGCTACCACTTTAAATCTCTTTATACCAGGCAGTAATTTTAAACTGGTACGAAGGATGTGATATTAGAATAATAGTGTTTGATGATGAGTTGTGTTTATTCTCATTAATTTCAGACGGTAAATATTGTCAGTGATGATCCAAATGACTTAGAATGGATTACTGTGGAGAAAGATGGAAATCAACGTGGTAAAGTTCCAAGAGCCTACTTAAGAATGGATTCACTTTCTTTATCTTAGTGTTTCTCTGTGTCTTTTCTGTTTTTAACAGTGATACGTCGTTATTGCATAATAATTTACCTCAACTACTTCTATGTAATTTTATTTTAATGGCAGACATTTTGTATGTTCCATTAATTTTTCTATTGTTTGATAGATACTATGCATGATTGAAACCGTTTTTTTACGCTTTGAGTAGATCTATTCTTGTAATTTTGACCATAAACAAAAACCAATATATGCAATTTATTTATCGTCAATTTTTTTGTCTTTGATACCTCCCACTGTTGTTTTCTGAAAACTAAGTAATTAATTTATTATTTTTTGTATTTGGAGAATAAAATAAAATGTTTAATATAGATAAAAAGAATTCTTAAACCTTACTAGTATTTTTAGACTAGTAAACTGTTAGTAAACCACTAATAGGATCTTCTCGTCCACAAGTAGCTCATAAGACGGATATTTTAGACACGGTGCACAGCAGAGGTGAGCGATGGACGAGGATCCTCGTGAGGTCCCTCGGTTCTTCACAGGATGGATCACGCGAGGAAGATTTTTTGAAAGTTTAACGGGGCATGGGACAATGACAAGGCAGGAACTTCACGATGCGAACTCCGATTGTACTACACTCGACTACTGCTGATAGTCAAGAAAAGAATTTCGAAAACTGCGCAGTCTTTTGAATGGCGAAGGCTCAACAACCTCCCAAAACCAAATATCTTAGAGAATTTACGTTGTACAGTACCTAACTCATCCGGCATCGCGTTTAATCGTTACAAAAACACAGTTTTTGTGATAGGAAACGCGGGATAATAGGGTACCACGATGCGGATTATTAGAGAACCGCACTTGTCATGGTAGAAAACGCGCGCTTTTATTCAAATCGCAAGTAAATGCGTTCTTCACACATTTTCGGTGCACCACGGTTAAGATGGGAAATATGGTTTTGAAAAGAGAAATCGCATTTCTGTTTTAGGATCGCAATACATCGAGAGTCTTCTTGAACCTTAGCTAATCGCGACTTCGAGAATATCGCGATTGTAACAGCGCAAATTGCATTCTGTTTGTGAGTTGCAGACAACTGCGGTTGATGGCAACTCAATAACAAAAACGCGATTCTTAGTAATGAAATCGTGAGCAACTGCGTGCATCGTTTAATCATGGTTTCCTAAGAAAACGTGATTTTCAGATAAGAGAACCGCGATTTAGAAGCTTTTTCAGCGAAAAAACGCGTTTAGACGCGGTTTTGGAACCGAAAAAGTATTTATGGATCCATCGTTCAATATAGATTATTTGCTAAGTGATCCAAATTCAATAAAGATTCATCTAGGTTTATTTAATAAAATTCATTTTTTGAAAAAACGATAGTTTTAAAAATAAAATGCCGTAACAGATAAAAAAGTGACGATTAAGTTGCTCTGATATGAGTTCATTTTCATTTCTTCGCTCTATTCAAAAATATTAATGGGATTTGTTAGTAAAAGAACAGCATACGACGGGGCTGCTGCGTACTAGTAATTCTATATCGCTTATGAGCGTCATCATCACAACGATAGCAGGATACGAATAACTAAATGATTCTCTATATTTGTGCTGGAACGTTCTATTTCGAAGTAAAATACTCTTAGAGAGCGTTCCTTGTTCTTTTTTTAATCATTTTTCAATTTTAATAGGGTCATACTTCGATCTTCTATTTGTTAACAATAAGAACCACTCACATACAAGACGAATGACTGAAACGAATATCGAACTTCTATAATCCATTTCTATATCCTTTACTGGTGGCATGCGATCAGATAAACAACGATATGCTTTTTAAACTTTAGCAAGGTCAATTCATCGTACGAAAGTTTTGAATGTAAACAAACTAGGATTTCACTTCTTATTTTTGGTTTTTTCAGACAAACTATAATTACTGATATTCATCATTCTACATTACAGAAAGTAACTTTTCGGTATTCATAGCTTGACTCGTCACTGAGTTATTCGCTAAAAAGACGCCACTTGAACAGTCTGAGGCATTTGGCATGCTTTTTACACTTGCTAATATTCTTGCTTTGAATTCATATTGTAGATTAAAGCTTATAAAACTATTCCTATGTCGTCGTCAGTGGCAAATTTGACATCTGTTAGTTACACAGCAAAATCAAATAATAACTCAATGATTGGTTTTGTTTCACAAGATGGTACCGTTCGATTTTATGATACATCAGTATCTTTATTAAAAACAGAGTTTACACCAAGTTCACATTTGAATACGGCTTGTACGTGTTTAACATGGGCACCTAAATCAAGGTTGAAACAAGTAAGAAAATTTATCTTTTAGTAGATTATCTTTTGCGAATTTAAATAGAGATGAATATTTACGCTTTTAGGGCGTTTCGAAAAAGAAACGGCGTCGAACATCGTCAAACATAAAAAGTTCTGATGGAGAAGAGGCAAACAATGATGATCCAGTTATTGATTCAGAATTAAAAAGTTTAGATCTTGTGGCTATTGGTACAACGTCTGGAAATATTTTATTATTCAGTGTCAGCAAAGGAAAAATGCATTCTGAACTAGTATGTGACAACTGAAGCTCAATATGTTAAGTCGAAATGTTTTGGTTTTTATTTTAGCATGGCGGTCATACATCCAAAGTAAACAGTATATGTTGGTCAACAAGTCAACAGGATGTTATTTATTCATGTTCAGATGATAAACACATATGTGAATGGACTATAAGTACAGGAATATTGAAACAGTACGATTTTTATCTTTTTCTTCGTCTTTAACCAGAGTTAGTAAGCAGTTAGTCTCTGTGAGCATACCCGTGGTGTGTATTCGCCTCTCAAGCGGAAGAAACCGACATATTATTAACGGTGGATGCTTGATGCGGATCAGCAAACGTTCATTCGGACTTCATAAAGAATGAAGAAGAAAAATGCATCAAAGGGTGAGAATAATGCACCAAAAAGTAAAGATCCACTCCTTTCTTCTTCATTAAACAACAACTAATGTATAATTATTTCATTATAGCTGCACGGTTTGTTTTAAAAAATAAAATGTTTCGATGAGAATTTATTTTTCTCTAATTGAATACATTTATTTTTTTGCTCCAGGTGACAGAGCGCGAGCGCTAGATACTACACATGTATGTGGTTTCCCTAAATCATCATGAGTTGGGTTTAAGTTTTCTTCTTGTTCTTTGAAATGTTTTATTATCATTAGACGTTGGAAAGCATCGAAGAGTGGACCCGTTACAGCATTGGCATTTGATAATAAAAATCATTATCTATTATCAGCATCAAAAGATATTGTCATATGGAATACAAAAAATAAAGAAAAATTAAAGGTTTGTATATAGAATCTTACTCTTTAGAGAAAAGTAACATCAATTGTGGTTTATTTCATACATAGGCGAGTACAAAAGAATTTTACTCGAATAATACCTGAGTATCAAAGATATTTCAATGAAAACAATGACAGTTTATTTTTCGGCAACAGAAAGATTTGAGCAATTGTTTGTAACTCTGTTTTTCCTTTATAACATCAAATTTTTTAAAAAAATGCTATACTTTTTGGGAAAGTTATTAATAATTTTATAAACATTTTTAAAATCAATTATTAAAACGTTTACTGAATGAAAGTAGTCGTACTATTACGTACAAAAGATATTCGAGTCATTAACAACAATGACGAGTACTTCGAGTATTTCAAAAAATAGCTGCGAGTACGAGTACTCAGAAATTTGTAATCGAGTGTGCGAGTATTTACTCATACTCGCCGATCTATGATGGTTTATTTATAAATCTTTCGTTTTACATCAGATGAAAAAAAAGAAAGACAAAAGTAGATTATTTACTAGTAATTGTAACAACTATGCGTGTTTTTCTTCTTATACTGTTTTTTAGTTACGAACATCTTTGATTATTTTAGATATTAACCGGACATAGTTCAAATATTAAGCAATTCTATATTTATGACGAATTAACTGAAGAAAATGAATATTCCTTACTGTTTTCATCAGCAGAAAATGATCGAATTTTATGTTGTTGGTATGTGACAGTCAATTATGATCTTGTTTGACTTATATGTGTTCCATTTTTTTAGGAAAATTCTTCCATCGTCGACAGATGAAGAAGAGATAGATTCGTCTACAGCTTGTGTATCGTTAGCGTTAACTGAATCAATAATATCATTTTCTGTTTGTGCATTAACCGATGACAAAAATGTAAGTGCAATTTCTAATCGTTGTTTTTTTAACGACAAAATTTCATCAATATCAGCATTAAACTTTCGCAGTTTTATCAAAATCTGTTTTTACACAGACCTATTATTTGCTATTTTAGCGGCTATTGACAATCGTTCTCAGTCAAATTGGTAAATTATATGTATTTGAATTAAAATTAAATAAATTGAAGAAAACAAAACCAAAAACAATTATTGAAATTGTATCACCGACAAACAATAATATACAACTGCCAATTTTATGTTCTTATGCACTTGGTACATCAGAAATTCTAATTAGTTATGGAACAATATTAAAACCAAAATTTGAATATTTAGTATGTTTACTATTCATTAGTGCTTTCAGTTTATACATGTGTTCTTTGTATTTGATTAGACGCTCGATTATACACAATCACAACAAATATTAAAACGTGAAGATCCGTCACGTTCAACAATTTCCGCAGAAGAGCAGGTCACACTAGTAAGTATTTTAAGGAACAATTGCTCTTCTTAAACTATATGATAAAATACTCTACATAGATAAAAAATGCAACAAAACCCACAAATGCCACTGTGTTAACTCAAACAATTTCTCAACCAAATATGTTGAATAAACAACAAATTACCAAACGTCCAGCAACAGAAATAATTCAGACAGAAGTAAATTAAAAAAGAGAAAATAACTGATTAAGAATTCTATTCTTGATTTTTTTAGATACCATTATCTGAACGATTAAATGCTGTAGAATTACATGAGCAAAATTCACAAATTCCAGCAGCTGATAGTCTCGTTACACTACTTAGTCAAGGTTTACAAAGTGGAGACAAAGCAATTCTAGAGGTAAAAGAAATGTACATAGTATTTCTTCATTTATAAACAAAGTCTAATTGAGCTTGAATTATTTAATTTCCATCAGTCAAATAATTCAATTATGTTTTCATAAACCATTAGAGTTAAGAGTACTACGATAGATAATAAGTAGCAACCTCATCATGGTATAAAGAATTAATTATTAAATCATTAATATTATTAAAACTTGGCAATATCATTTTTTTTTATTTACAAAAAAACGTATTTGTTTGACTATTATTCATTATCTGTTTCTTCATTTATTGACGTTTGCATTTTACTATTTTTATATTGATTTAATCGATCTTTTAACGCATTATGCTGAAGTTCAATAGGCATAAATTGTACCGTGTTATTCAGTGTATTTTCAGAAAACGTTTTGTCATGGTTAGGAGTCACTGTCGTTTTATTTAATAATTCTTTCTGTGTAGAATGAGTAGAAGATTGTGATTCGTGGTCAGTTGTTGTTGATAATATCAATGGCACAGTTGCTTCCATAGTGGTTGATGCATTAATTGCATATTCTTTTGCTCCAATTTTTTTAAAATAATGAAGAACATCTTTTGATTTTGTTTCTCTTGCCCATTTCATTGGTGTATGTCCATGTTGATCTAAGGCATTTATTTTTCCACCACGACTCAATAATAAACGTACAATATTCAAATCATTATGAGCTGCTGCTACATGTAACGGTGTCCAACCGGATAAATCCTTTGTGTTTGGATTTGCTTTATATTTAAAGAGTAATCGAACAATATCAATTTTTCCTAAAATAAAAATAAAAACTACTATATATCAAATAAAAATAAATTCAAATATCAGAGGATTATACCTAAATCAACTGCCATATGTAATGCACTGATACCATCTTTATTAAGAATATTAACATCAATATGATTTGATAATAATAAATCTATACAGTGTAAATTTTGAACTTTAATTGATTCATGTAATGCTGTTTCATTATTTTGATCAATATTATTAATCAATATTTGTTTTGTATTCGTATCACATATATCAAATAAATATTTGGCAACATTATATGATTGTCCAGCAATGGAATAATATAATACATTTCGTTTTGAACAATCTAATTTACTTTTGTTTGCTCCATTGTCAATTAGTAATTTACATATCAATGTATTGCCATAGAATGCAGCGTACATTAACAAGGTGGTACCTGTTCCTTTATCAGCATCATATAGATTACAAATAAAATTTGCTTGCTCACTCGATACAGATTTTAATTGTTTACGTAATTCATCAACGTTATCTGTACATATTAAACTAAAATATTTTTCAAATTTTGCTGATTGTGATTGTCCCATAGTATTTCTTTTTTTATAAAACTTGTCTAGAAAAAAAGAAATCTAGAAGAAAGAATGAGATGCTGATGGATGCCTGTTTAAATCAGTATCAATTCAATTTTTCTTTTGATATACGTCATGATTCCTCATTCCACTGAATGTTGATCAAATCTCTTTTTACATTTGAATCTTAATATCCAATTTTGTAATTAGAACGCTATGTAAATTTAGTCTGCGATTGTATATATATTTCAGACTAGTAGATATGACATTTACTACGCACAATCTATTTTGAGGGTTTTCGATTTAATCACAAAATGAACTCTTTTTACTTTTGCTGATGAAAACACTAAAAGCTTAGATAAATAAATAAAACGAATCATTTTTTCTGTAAAAATTTGATAAACAATAAGTAAGACGTATGTAATGATAATCTTTCATTTCATGTTGTGTTTTCTCTCAACTCTAAAGAAAAAGTAATTAAAAAGTTGTGATAGTTATTCAAGTGAATTCTAAAACGTTTGAAAAAGTCTAGAATAGTAGTATGTTGCCTTCGTTTGTCCCAGTACATATCTTTCTATTCTCTCAATCTCTTTCTACTCGCTTGCTAAATTATGTTGAAAATAATTCGCGTTTATTAGGTTCTCTCTTTATACACTACGATGTTACGGACAATAACATTTTTGTTGTTTTTTTATTAATGGATTCGTAATAAAAACTAGTTATTAGTTGGTTTCTGTCATCAAAAGCCAATCAGAATTGTGATCTATATTATCAGTCTAACACGACAACGTACGAAATAGTATTTTTTTACCTGGACAGTCAAAAAGTAGCACGTTTTATTTATTTTTTTAGAAAAAATTTCTATAATCAAACATATTCTGCATGAGTAGTTCTATACTTTACCGTATTTTTGTCGTAGAAATATAATCATTTTTTCTAAACTAAAGTAACTAATTTAAAACTGACTTAACAAAGTTGCGGTCAAATTTTTTTGTGTGGCAAAAGCCGGACGTTTTTTTTATTGAAAAACATATTTTTGGTGAAATACTGTTGTCTTCCTCAAGGTCAAGACTTTTTTTGTTTAAGTATTTTCTTAGGCTACGATATCGACGCTTAGGAAAAAATTCTCCTGTCATTCCAACCATTTTTCAAAAATTTGTCCCATAGGATAGAATATCATGCTGCCTTCCATCCTATTAACATCAATGATAAATAACTGTAATGTTTGAGGAAAAAGAAATATGATTTTAAAGGCGAGTTCACAGAAAAAACATCTGTAATGAGAAAAGAGATTTGCAAAAGTTATGAACGTATAAGTATCTGAAATCATAATCTTTTGCAATTCGTTCATGTTCACGCGTGACAGCGTTTGTCGTTTTATTCATGTATATACATTCACTATGTTGAATAAAGTCAAGTCATCAAATTGAAAATTTTATATACATTTCTTATCCTTAACCAAAAAAAGTCTGTTTCACATTGTACTCTCAAAAAAGCGAACAAAGAAAATTTTAAAACAGTTTTTCTATGTTGTAACCTGTCTGTACTCAGAAATGTATGTAAAGTGTATTCGAACACTTTTTGATCTAAAGTGTAGCACTGCCTCAGTGAATCTTTCGTGTAACGTATTTCACATGCCCGATAAATGCTTAGTGCTAGTATAATATGACAGAATGATGAAAACAAATTTTAATTTCGTTCAGAGAACCACAAAATAGCCATACTCTATGATTACAAATCCTTTTCTATAATCTGTCCTATTTGGAAAAATATGTTTGAAAAGAAAAATAGTTATGAACAGATGAAAAAATATTTTAACTATTAAACGCTTAATTGCAGATGTACACGAGGAAGAAAGGAGCGCCGTCGATTTGTCGTTCGAGTTCAATGGCGTTCGTGCCTGAACACGCTAAACTCACGGTTAACAAAACCTTGAAAACTGAAATAATCTCATTACTCATCAAATTGTCTAACGTCCATAAGTTTTTTAATCATATATCAGATTTTTGTTGCAATCCTTTCTATTTCAAATTGGAAGACGTTCTCTGGGTTATAAACTTGAATAAAAATGATAAAACTTAACAGAAATATTTATGAAATTTTACATCATTATTTTTTCTGTTTTTTTTAGCAAGCGTTAACGTTTCGAAATGATAAGCTAATTCAAAAAACTGTTCGTTTACTTAGTCTTCAAAGTATTTTACCATTATTAGAACATTTAAACAACTGCTTGCATGAAACTGCAGAAAAGTAAGTTTTAAATAATTTTTTGTTCGTGTTTAATTTTATTTTCTTGTTGTAGAGGACTTATTGCATCTAAATGGTTAAGAGTTGTATTAAGTACCCATACGTCCTATTTAATGACAGTATGTAGATCAAATTATTACTCTTTCCAAATATGTGATGTTGTTATTTTATATGTTTAGTGTCCCGATATAAGTGAACGTTTGGGTCCAATGTATGAATTAATTGAAGCTCGTACACGATTATATCCAAAATTGTCTCGTTTACATGGGAAACTGATGCTTATAGCTTCACAAGTAATCCGTTGAAGTATATTTTCCAGAGTCTGTGTTCAAATTATTTTCTTCGCGTTTTTTAGATGACAACACAAAATGACATATTGACAACAGATGAAATATCATCCCGACCGAAACTAATATTTGAAGAATTATCTGACGAGGATGATGATCAAGTGGAAGATGATATCGTCCCAAGGTGAACATTTTTGTCATACTTATTACTCATTCTCGTGACAAAGAAAAACTTTAGTCATTTATAAATTACTGTATTGCTACAAGCATTAGATTCCTTCAAACTTTTAAAACTGATCGTATATTCTTTTAGTCCATCTGAATACGAAGATTATAGCGGTCTATCGGATGATTTGGATTTATTGAATGACGAAGAAGATGATGATGAAAATTTTGATGAGGAAGAGGATAAATTAGAGAAAAACAATGATAGCGACAATGAAGAAATGTTATTAGAAAATGATGATGTAAGCTCATTTTTCAATCTGACCTAAATACGATTTATCGTTTTTGTTTTTGTTTTAGACATTGTTTAATCATAAATCGAACTATATCAATCATCTGTCGAATAACAACAATAATAATAAACATAATGGTAGTGATTTTGAAGACAACGAAGACGAAGAGGATATAAAGTGATTTCTAGTTTTATTTTATTTTGTAAAATTTTTCTGTTTGTAGTGTGAACGGATAACAATGAACTAACTATACAACATTTTTTTGTAATTGTTTGTCTTTCGTATTTTGCTTTTTTTCTATCTTTTGATGATGAACACGCTCATAATTCGTTGTTGTTGTTGTTTTTCTATTTTAAAAAACAAAAATAAAAAGCAGATTTTGATATGCAATGGAAAAGGAAAATAAAAATAATACACATACTGATTTAATCAATATCTAGTAGAAAGTGGCATTAACTCACATTGACGAAGCGCAATTAACAGTAAACCCCCGTCCACATTAGAAGCCCAGTGGGCTTCTATTATGTCCCGCAAGAAAGGCAAAATTTTCTCAAAAAGTACCCTATGGGGAGAGGGACAATTTTCAAAAAATTTCTTGCCAGACTGAGCTTCTAATGCGGATGGGCTTCTATTATGGAGTGGGCTTCTATTATGGAGTGGGCTTCTAATGTGAAGGGGGGTTTAGTTAATAAATTATTTATAGCATTTCAAATGTTTATTACGATGAAAGAAACTGCCAAATACGTTATTCAAACAATGCAGATATTGCTGCAAAATACGACATAATAATACAAGCAGTACTCGAATATCTAGCTGACCCCGTGAAGTTACTAGATTTCTTTCTTTTTAATAACACGCGAAAGTTTAGCGAATTAATTTAAAATCATCACATTAACATTCTGATCAGAGCCGATGGGTGCTACGATAGTCATTTTGTCAATGTTAATGGAAAATGAGAGAACATTTCTCTTAATCATCTTTAGTCGATAATACCAAATCGAGCTCTGTATAGTTATCATTCATCAAAAGAATGTTTATACTTAGTTAGTTTAACATACCTTTTTAAAAAGAATTTATGAACATTTTCATTTATACGTCAGATTAGCAATGTGAAAACCGAAAGTAAAAGTCTACCAGCGCAACTATTGATAAAAAAACAATAAACCATCAAAAAAGCCGATATTCGTTTATATGCTCGTAAATATCGTTTACCTTTGGTAAATGGAGGCTACATGGTATAAAGTTTGTCCCGAGATGTTTTTAGGTTACATACAAGGCCACAGCTCTCATTTTAGCTTATTGTTCTTATTCTACTTTCGTACTTTTATAAGGCACAAAGTGTTTTTCGAACGAAACCTTATAGAACAGACTTTTCTTCTTCAAGATAAAAGCTCATACTACTTCCACTAGCGCTTGAATTGCACGTTATTCAGCGATCGGACATATGGTAGTTTGGTCAGGGTAGTCAAGAACAGTTTCAGATACTTGAAATAGGGTCGAAGATCCTCGCGATCCGCTGTCTTGAGGGTGTAAAATCGATAATTAGAAAATTTTTACACCATTGAACTTGCGAGATGACCTTACACTTTGTAATATAAAAAATAATGTATGTTGTCCGAGAAATTTCTGAGCAAGAATTAAAAACTTTTCACTAGTCAAAAAGTGGTTCGAATTAGGAACAATCGCTCTATATAAGCTGCTTTTATTTGCTTAAAGGTTTTGCGTCAAATTACGTATCTCGTGTTTTCATGTGAGATAATAAGCAGAAAAGAAGAAACGATAAAAAAATCGACTGTTCTCTTTTTGATAAATTTATCTTTGACATTAGACAGTAGAGGAAACGAATTGCCACACCAATGTTAGTTCTAAAATTTAAGTGCAATGCTCAGGCTATACTTGTCATTAAACTTGGTTTTAGGGATCCGCGTATGAATGATGAAGCCGTAGCTTATACAACAATTGCTCAGGCGAATCCTCTTAGTTCTTCCTCCGTGAAAAATGCACGTGCTCGTAGTGAAATGATGCACAGTAAAATAAATGAGAAACTGTTGAACACATTTAAAGGAACAGAAGAGGAAAAATTCATACAAATATCAACGAACGACAGTACAGTTGATCAGGTAATCGATGTACACACATAAAAATAAAGTCTACGGCTCCTTTAGGCATTCCTGTAACAATTTATGTACCAACAAATGTAAGCAAAGACAAACTTGTGGTGTACTTTCACGGTGGTACGTTCCGAATCTCTTATCGCCGAGTATTAAGTTAAAATAAATTCATTTTGAAGGAGGGTGGACATTGTCATCAAGAAAAACACATCAGACAATCGTGAATATGTTAGCAGAGTAAGTCTAAACTTACCATGTAGCTGTTATGAGAAGATTCCTCCCCTCATAAAATCGATTTTCAATGGAAAAAAGTTTTTCACATGACTGAATAAACTGAAGTATTCTCTTTGAGAATGTATTGTTTTATAACCAGCAGTTAGTTTTTGTTGTCACAAAAAGCCTTCTGAAAATCGCAATAAACAGAGTTATTAGGGGCTATATTGTTCTCACGGCTCCATTGATTCTGTTATGTACATGATTATAAACATGTAAATTTGTAGGATAAACTGCTCTCGCCGAAATATAACGTGCTGCAGCTCTATGCAGTTTTGTCCTGAAAAAAGTCCTGAGCATTTTTCTACAAGCCCTAAAATATACTGACAAATAAAAGCGTTTCTTGTTGGTAATGATTTTAGTCGTTATTAAATGCAACAATCCCTAGAGAACGTACTTGATGCAAGTACTTGATTACTTGCTAAGTACCTGTCAATGATCGAAATACTTGTCTTATTGCTAAGAAGTACTCTCTGAAAGTACTTGTCAAGTAAGGACAAGTAAGAACAAGTACGTACAAGTAATTTACTTTTGGAAAAAAGGCAAGTACCGACTTCATTACGCAGACGAAGTACTTGGTCCAAGTACTTGGCCTCAGGTACGTTCTCTAGGGATTATGTCAGTTTCTAGAATTAGATGCTAAGCTAAGTTTAATATAAATTCGATCTTTGCGGCTGGCATACAATGTGACAACAATTTGCCTAAAATAACATTTCACAATGGGGATCAGGCGGATGTTTAGAAAAAAGTGAAATAAACATATTTTACTTCTGATTGATGGGTGAAGCAAACGTTGATGTCTAGAAAAAATGATTTTGAATATGATTCTATAGCAAAGAGTCACGTATTGATGAAAGTGTTTTGAAATTTGGATTTGAAGTTTAGGAGAAATAAATATAACATTCTGGTTAAAATCTTTTTTTGACGATGGATGTTCATTGTATTCAGTTCGCTCCGCATCAGTTGTCTAATTATTTAGACGTAATTACATTTTTTAGGATTACGTTTAACCCTCATCCGCCCACTTGGGGTCCAGCTGGACCCCAACGAGTTTCAAATTAATGTTATATGCACATAATATTAGATCGAATCATGCCCTTCATAATATGCCTTAGTGAAGAGTAGTAGAGTAAGCTGATAACATC